GGTCGATGGGTCTCTTCCAGCGGGAGCCCTTGTGAAGGGCGATGCCATAACCAGTGGTAGCGAAGACCTTGCCGGAGCCGATGGTGACCAGCTTGCAGCCCTCATCCTTGCGGGCCATGTAGTTGAGCACTGCCGCATCGTAGATGAAGGCATCCAGTTTCCTGAGGACAGGGACGTGAAAGACAGGGTCAGTCTCACGTAGATGACCTCATGGCACTCCAGGAGCCCCTTTCACCTCTAATCCCAACTGCTCAGGAGTTCCTAGGCAGGTACCTTCTTGTACCTCTTTTTAACCTTGGTAAAGGGAGCCTAATTCTGTCACCACCACGCTGAAACTTTTGCAGAGGTGATAGTGCCCGGGAAGGCGGTGCTGGAGAGATGACAGCCATTTAACTGTCACGGGAACAGCCTCTTAACCCTCATCCTATATTGCTGAAGAAAATACTGTTTCGTGTTTTTGTTTTTAGTGGCGAGTTCACATTAAAAAAGGCTGGACAGTGGTGGCACACGCCTTTAATCCTAACACTTGGGAGACAGTCAGGCGGATCTCCATGAGTTTGAGGCCAGCTTGGTCTACAGCGTGAGTTCCAGGACAGCCAGGGTTGCACAGAGAAACCGCATCTTGAAAAACCAAAACAAACAAAAGGTCGTGTGTGTGTGTGTGTGTGTGTGTGTGTGTGTGTGTGTGTCTGTGAATGTAGCTCAGAGGCAGAGCACTTGGTAGCATAGCAGGGGAGTTCACAACCACTTAGTAACTCCACCTCCAGGAGCTCTGAGGGCATCTTCTGGCCTCTGCCTGTATCTGCACCCATGTGATGACACACACTCACATAGACACAGAAACTTAAAAAAGTAATTAATCTATTTATCGATTGTGTATGCAGTGTTCTCTCTGCATTCATACCTGCAAGGCCAGAAGAGGGCATCAGCTCTCGTTGCAGATGGTTGAGCCGCCACGTGATTGCTGGGAATTGAACTCAGGACCTCTGGAAGAGCAGCCAGTGCTCTCAACCTCTGAGCCATCTCTCCAGCCCCCAAATATAAATATTTTAAAAGGCTTTAGATTTTATTAGTTGTGACACTGGTGGTGGAACCCGGGCCCCACACACGCTAGACTATCATGCTCTCATCACGCCACGACCGAGCTGTGCCCCTAGACCCTCATTGTTGGGTGCTGGGAAACACCTAATAGCCACAGTGCAAGCTCTTGCCTTATAAAGAGGCTTGAGACTTAGCAGGGGGGATGGCAGTGACACCAGGGAGTCCTTACATTTGACCTTTATTCTACCTATTACTGTTCTTCAGACTCAGTGAGTCATTTGATCCCCACAAAACAGAAGTAAAACTAAAACCTTTGTGTCTATTCTTTCCAGAAGGGGAACCAGCCTCATCTGGGCCCTAAAGTATTAAGCCTTGGTTGGGAGAGAAGTCGGGAAGTAGAGGTACCCCACAGATGCGTAGCACTATTGTCCTTCACTCCTGACAGCTTCTTCTGAGACTGCCAGCCCCTGAAGCTGGCACATAGGTCTTCATTCCTAGCCCAGGCATAATCTGGCACATACAATGATTTTTTTTTCTTTTTTACAGAATAAATTGTTGTGGAATATTTATTTAATCAGGCAAAGATGTGTTACATTCGTTTGTTAATTATTAAAAAGATGTGTTGCGGGGCTGGAGAGATGGCTCAGTGGTTAAGAGCATTGCCTGCTCTTCCAAAGGTCCTGAGTTCAATTCCCGGCAACCACATGGTGGCTCACAACCATCTGTAATGAGGTCTGGTGCCCTCTTCTGCCTTGTAGACATACACACAGATAGAATATTGTACACATAATATATATATATATATATATATACACACATATATATATATATATATATATATATATATGATGTGTTGCATTTGTTTCACTTTGCCAGCCTGAGGCACCTGATTGGTCTCATAAAGAGCTGAACAGCCAATAGCTAGGCAGAGAAAGGATAGGCGGGGATAGCAGGCAGAGAGAATGAATAGAAGTCTAGGCTTGAGGGGAGGAGAAGGAAAAACCAGATAGCAAGGGAAAGAAGGGGGAAGAAACACCCAGGGGAAGAAACCTGGCAGATGACAGACAGACATAGAGAAGCAGTAAAGGTAAGATACACAGAAACAAGAAAGGTAATAAGCCCCAAGGCAAAACCTAAGCTAGGCCAGGCATTCAGAACTAGTGAGTCTGTGTCATGATTTAGGAGCTGGTTAGTGACCTAAAGGCAAAAGCCCGGCACAGCGAATTAACTGAATGGTCCACATCAGTAAGCAGACCCTGCACTGCACCAGAGACGAGGCGCTCTGAGCTGCTAAGCCGTCTCTTCAGCCCTTACAGTTCTTTGTACGTTTATCTGTTTATTGTGTGTGTAGGCACACGCATGCCATCGTGCACTTGTGGTCAGAGGACAACTTGCAGGTCAGTTTCCTTCCACCCTGTGGCTCTGGAGATTGTTCTCCGGCCATCAGGCTTGGGAGCAAGCACATTGATCCTATGAGCCATCTCGTCAACCTTGCTTTTTGAATTTATTATTTTTACATTTATTTATGTGTGTGGGTGGGCATGGCGTGCACATAGAGTTTAGAGAACAACTTGCAGGGGTTGGTTCTTACTTTCTACCACATGGGCTCCAGGGATTGAACCCAGGGCTACAGCCTTGGGCCTATGTCACTTTTGTTTTGTAATGCGTGTGAGCATGTTCAGTTGTTTGTGTTTGTCTGTGAAGGGGAAGGAGAACCTTGGGTGTTATTCTCAAGACCACAGTCCCCTTTGAGACATGATCTCTTTTTTGTTAGTTTTTTGAGACAGGGTCTTACTGTGTACCGCTAGCCTGAAACTCAGAGATTTGCGTGCCTCTTCTCCTTGTGCTGGGTTGGAAGGCGTGCGTCTCCATGCACAGTGAGACATACATTCTATTAGCCTAGTGCTCACCAAAGTGAAGCCTCGGGGATGTACCTGTCTTAGCGCTCACCAAAGGGAAGCCTCAGGGGTGTACCTGTCTTGGATTCCCCAGCACTAGTTTTACCAGCATGCAGTTTTTCATGGCTCTGTCACCCCAGCCCCAGTGCTACTTTCTTTGAAGATGGCCCTTGCAGAGTTACTGAGACTGGCTTTAGTTTCCTAGCGCCCTGCGTGTCTGCGATGCCAGGTCAGCACCACTAGGCCTGCCCCTCTGTTTATTCTTTCAGTGGTGTAGCTACGGACTGAAGTTTTGGTCACACTTCTACAGACTCTAAATAACTTCTAAGACAGGGCCTCACCCTGTGTAGCACTGTCTAGAAACCCTGCCGTGATAAGATAGACCCTGTGTGTGGACATGGTAGCCACTGTCCACATAGGCTCAAGTACTTGAAGTTTGGCCACAGTGGGGAGATGGAATTTTAAATATTTCCTATTTTTTTTTTTAAACTAAAATACTACTGGTGGACCAGATCTGTGGGATGGCAAGCTAAAGACCTTACTGGAGGCTGACCACAGATAGGATTTGCCAGGAAGGAATACTTACCTTTATGTGGTGCATGTGTGCCTGCGTGTGTGTGTGTGTGTGTGTGTGTGTGTGTGTGTGTGTGTGCCACTCGGACTCTGGTAGCCGCCGAAATACATCATAGCCTCTAGCCTGTCAATTGATTTAAACCCTTCTTTATTAAGCTTCAGAGAATCTCATGCGTAAATGCCTCGTGTGTGGTGTGTGTGTGTGTGTGTGTGTGTGTGTGTGTGTATGTGTGTGTGTGTAAAGGACAGAGCAGAACCTGTCTGTGCACTCACCTCTACTGGGAAGACCCCTGGAATTGAGGTGATACAGCCAAAGCAAAGAAGAACTTGGGTTGAGGTAGAGGCTAGGAGGCCCCGAGAATTACCTTTCATTTTGGGGAGGTCATGGAGGGTCCCACTCTGGAAAGCGGTCTTAGTTTTCTCTCAGTCCTTAACTGGCAGAGGGATCCCAGCTGCCGTCTAGGAGTGTGTAGACACAGGAAAGTCTGCAGGCACTTCTGCCGTGTAGGCAAATTGTAATTCCTCTCTAGGTTTCTGTCTGTTAGGAAAATGCCCAGGAGTGCAGGAAGTAGATTGCTCTCCACATTCAAGTGGAGGTGATTTAGCGGTTTCAGGCTTGGACTGAGGGCAGAGATGGAAGGGCTGGGGACAGCATCAAATGGAGGAAATGAGTGGCACTGGAGCCTTTGAGAGAGGTGCTAAGACAAAGCTTCCAAAATGGAAACAGTGGAGGAGCTTCAGCAGGTGGGACCAAACAGCATTTACTTATTAGTTTTTTGATCCTAGTGGAACCAAGAGTCTCGAGCTAAACAAGAACTCCTCCACTGAACTGCATGTCTAGTCTAGCACTCACTTTTATCTTTTCAAAGATTTATTTTATTACCGTGAGTGTTTTGCCTGCATGTTTGTGCAGCACATGCAGTGCCTGTAGAGGCCAGAAGAGGGCATGGGATCCCGTAGATCTGGAGTTACAGATGTAAATCATCATGTGGGTGCTGCTGGGACTAGAACCTGGGTCCTCTGCAAGAGCAATGAGTGCTCTTAACTGCAGAGCCATCTCCAGCCCCCATCACTCCCTGTAGTTATTTGCTCAGCTGTTCTGTGACTTAATGCCTGCCTCGCCTCTTTCCTAAATCCCTGTTTATATTCAACCTAGGGCTGGAGACAAACTGCCTAGAATTCCCCTGTGAGGGGCTAGGGGGCGTGACTCAGAGGTAGAGCCCTGTGTCAAGTGGGGGTGGGCTTTGAGGTTTCAAAAGCCCAGTCCAGAAGGAGCAGTCTCTGTCTCTGCCTCCTTCCTCTCTGCCTGCTGCGTGTAGATCAGGATGTAAACTCTCAGCTACGCTCTGGTATCATGCCTGTCTGCTTCCCATCCTGACGGCCATGGACTAACTCTAAAAACTGTAAGCAAGCCCCCAGTTAAATGCTCTTTTTTCTGAGACTTGCCTTGGTCACGGTCCCCTCACAGCAGTGGAATGGTGACCAAAGCACCTAGCAATGTACAAGGCCAACCCACAGCATGGCAAAAGCAATCTATAGCCCAACCAGGTGCCTAAAGCCAATCCACAGCATGGCAAAAGCAAATTCATATCCTAACCAGGTGCCTAACTTCTGTTTGAAAAGGTGAGGCAGGAGAATTGCTGTGAGTT